TATATACAGAAGTTGAAAGAAAATAAATTTGAATATTGCATTTACACATAAATGAGTCTGACAAATATAAGCCTCCTCTGCTTCAATCATACATTAGAGCAGATTTTTCATAAACTAAGTACAGGCAGTCTCCCAATTAAGTACAAGTTTATGTTTATTTAGAGCAGTTAGGTACCTTTCATATCTGATATCAGTCAAATATTTGTCTTAGTATATAGCATATATCTTTCAATATATAGAAAACATTAAGGAAACACTTCCAAATACACTAAGAATCTAAAGTACTAACAAAACTATTTCATGGAGGGAAGGAGAAAAAACACCACCATGTTTTCTGAAAAGCATTCCTCGCGTTCTCTAGTTTCTCGTTGTTTTCGACATTGTTTCTGTAAGTTCTCATCATAATTTCATGTACTCTCATTAACAATAACTCTCCGTGTCTAGTCCAGACATTCATTAAAATACAACTTCATATTTCCCTGCCCCACTCATTATCTCTACCTGAGTACCCAAAAAAAACAATAAAATCAGCTTATTCAAAAGCAAATTCATTTTTCTCACAACATTGTCATCTGATTATAAAACCATCGCACACCTGCCTTGAATTTCTTCATCCTTATCACATTTCTTTCTTAACCTTCATATCCAATAGCCACGTTGATTCCATTACCTATGTAAATATTCAATCCGTTTTCCTTTCGCCATCCTTGTGCCTTGACCTTAGTTCAAATAGCTATGATCTCTCATCAGGACTATGAAAGAGATGAACTTAGCACTGTGTACTTTACATCCACCTTTCCATCTGCTTCCTTGCTGCTGGTAGATGCTGCTGAGTCAGTTCTGAGCCATAGTGACTTCATCACACAACCAAGCAAAACACTTTCCAGTCTGCACAAGGGTGGCTATGTTCCAGCTCATCATTGTGGCCACTGTGTCAATCCACCTTGTTCAGTCTTCCACTTCACTTTTCAATGACTCTCTGCCTTACCAGTGTTAGGTCTTTCTTTAGACATGATACATTGAATTCCCAGAGAAGTTCATTCATCATATCCAAAACCAATCCTTCACTCATCTCAGCTTTTTCATTTCAGTGAATTTATTTTCCCTTTTCCAGCTATGTCTAATAGCTTAGTTAATATTGGGGGCAGGAGGATCCAGAAAGTCATGGAAATTTGAATTTTCTTTTCATTCAATTTTTCCAAAAAATTTTTTATGTCCCTCATATATCCTCCTTCATCCAAAACATCAGCCATAACATAGTTGAATATCAAATTATGGTTAGCCATGCAGAAAAAATAATTATTTTAATAATTACTTTTGGAGAAATGGCTAATTCCC